AATAAAATAAAATAAAATAAAATAAAATAAAATAAAATAAAATAAAATAAAATAAAACAAAACAAAACAAAACAAAACAAATACTTGGCAAAGGTTGAATGAAACTACAGCTCCTGTGGAGATAAGCAACAGCTCTGATTTCTTTTTCTTTTTTTTTCCCCAAAAACTTCCTTCAGATTCCCTCTGATTGCTTCGAAGGTCGTCGGTTGTGTGGGTTGGCCGATCTCTCTCTTGTTAACATATGCCATCAGGAGGCAGACATATGGTTCCAGGATCAGTAGCTGTTCTTTTCACTCCACATTAATGTTGTACTTTCTGAATCATTAATGTAGAATGAGGAAAGGGCACTTCCTTGAAAACTGATGAGAAGGGAAAACAGCAGTGAAGGAGGAATTCATTCATAGGCGAGTCTTCATGGCAAGACACATCAAAGAGTACTAGGGATTCTGTGAGGCAAAGACCTCAGCCGATCACGTTCAAGTGCATCTCTCCAGTTGGATACCATAGAAATGATCCCTGAAAGTAAGGGATGACCCTCTTTCCTTCTGTCAGGGCAAGAGAAGACAAGGACAAAGCTTGTTCCAGCCTCAGATGTGACGGGGGTGAAAGGGAGGATGTAGAATCTGAAGCTAAGGTGTGTGGTGTGTACAGCTTGGAATGTAGAGGTTGTGGTAGGTAATCCTTTGTTGGAAGTTAAAACCCACCCCTCTCCTAGAAAAATGACATATATTAGGATATATTAAAAAGGCAGACTATTTCCCCTAAAAGAGAAGTAGAAACTCAGAGAGGCAGAAACTCAGCCCCTCCCCCTACCTTTGTTAATGGGCCACTAAGGCATGAACCAGACTATTCTACATAACAAAGATCTACCTCCTTCAGGCAGAGCCATAATAGGAATTGCCCAAAAGCTCTTTCATTACATCATCACCCAGCAAGAGTCAACCAAGCCTGGGACTCAGGACAGCCTACAGAGTTGCCCCTGCATGGCCCCATGGGAGTCTGACAACCAATCAGAACACAAGCTCAAATTCAAATCCCAACAGAGGGCATAAAACCCAGGGACTCTCAGCATCTCTTCCCTTTTCTTCTTCACCCAAGAGCTCCAAGGCATGTGGTCCTGTCCACCATTAAACCATCTTTCCAAACAGCCTCCATGTTTTTAGTGTCTTTCTTCCCTACTTGGAACTGAACCCAGAAGGATAATTCTTCCAACACCTTAGTCAGAGCTTTTCCACTTCTGAAATAAAAGCATTTTAACCGGGGTTGTATTCTTTGTTCCTAGATGTCCACGGAGATTCTCAATCTTCCAGGTCATGGTCATGTCAATGGTGCTTTTCCAAAAAGCAACTGAACTTTCTTGCTTTGTGGAGCTGACACAAAGAAGAGGCGGGCTCAACTTATTTTCCAAAGCACCTGAAGGCAGGACAAGAAGCAACAGATGGAAACTAATCAAGGAGAGAAGCAACCTGGAACTAAGGAGAAATTTCCGGTTAGTGAGAACAATCAACCCGCAGGATGGCTTGCCTCCAGAAATTGTGTGTGCTCCAACACTGGAAGTTTTTAAGAAGATTGGATAACCATTTGTCTGAAATGGTATAGAGTCTCCCGCTGGAGCAGGGGGTTGGACTAGAAGACCTCCAAGATCCCTTCCAACTCTGTTATTCTGTTAAAAAACCAAGAAAGCTCCATCGCCTTTTGAATAAGCACCTTTGGGATATCTGCTCCTAACTTTCTCCGGCACAAACGAGGCCAGACTTGAAGTAATGCATCCAATTCTGGTCACCAGGATATCAAAAAGAGAGCTGTGAAAATATCTACGGACCCCTCACATCCTGGACATAAACTGTTTCAACTCCTTCCCTCAAAATGATGCAATAGGGGACTGCACACCAGAAAAACTAGACACAAGAACAGTTTTTTTCCCTAATGCCATCACTCTGCTAAACAAATAATTCCCTCAGCACTGTCCAACTATTACAAAGTCTGCACTACTATTACTATTAATCTTCTCATCACTCCTCATCACCCATCCCCTCCCACTTGTGACTGTATGACTGTAACTTTGTTGCTTGTATCCTTAGTGTTTATATTGACTGCTTCCTAGTATGATTTGATTGTTTTATTGTACCCTATGACTATTAAGTGTTGTCCCTTACGATTCTTGACTCTTGACGAATGTATCTTTTATTTATATGTACACGGAGAGCATTTGCACCAAGAGAAATTCCTTGTGTGTCCAATCACACTTTGCCAATAAAGAATTATATTAAGCTCATGCCTACTGCTTCATTGACTCCATCCACCTCCTTCTCTGTCTTCTCTTTCTTTTACCCTCAATCGTTCCCAGCATTAGGCTCTTCTCCAGTGTAGTATAAAGTGGTACAATTCTTTGGCATTTCTTCTCTTCCTTTCATGGGTTTACAATCTCTCTGCTTCCCCATGTTAAAACTCAACCAGCAAATTTCCTTTGTTGTGTTATCTATCTGTCTCTGGCTGGGTTTGTACTGAATAAGTCTTTTTTTTTCACTATTTGAGTGGGTCTCCAATTGCACTTTGCCTGCTGGACTATTGTGTACAATTCAAACTCATTCTCTACAACTTCGTTTATTACACATGTGGTTGTGATAATGCACATACGACTCAGACTTTTTTTTTAAAAAAAAAAAGTGGAAGCAGCCCATCATGTGTCATTTATGGAAAATGTGGTCCAAGGGGCACATAATAGGCCATTTGCAGAAGAGGCTTAACTTGCTGATGAGCTTGCCAAGATGCCAACCAGCCAAAACTGTGAGTGATCAGAGGGGGGCATTTCAGAATTGGCTCTAGTGAAACTCTTGAAGCTCTGTGGCTGAAACTTTGCAGCTAATAACTTCTAAAGGATCCATCAACCCTGCGATTGTCATCTCCTACTGCCAAAACTGAGGCAGCTCCAGATGTTCTGCTTCTTTCCCGTTATAATCCACCATTGACTGTTTTATTGAATTCGCTCTCAAATTGAATCTCGTGTCCTTTCCATAGAACATAGAATCAAAGGGATGGAAAGGACCTTGGAGGTCTTCTACTCTAAACTCCTGCTCAAGGTAGGACAACTTCAATTGATTGTCCAGTTGTTTTTTGAAAGCATTCAATGATGGAGCACCCACAATATTAGGAGGCAAGATATCCCATTGATTAATAGTTTCACTGTCAGAAAATTTCTCCTTACTTCTAGGTTGAAGCTCCCTTCAACAAGTTTCCACCCACTACAGAATAACAGAATTAACAGAGTTGGAAGGGACCTTGGAGGTCTTCTAGTCCAACCCCCTGCTTAGGCAGGAAACTCTACACCATTTCTGACACATGGTTGTCCAATCTCTTCTTAAAAACCTCCAGTGTTGGAGCAGTGTTACAACTTCTGGAAGCAAGTTATTCCACTGATTAATTGTTCTAACTGTCAGGAAATTTCTCCTTCATTCTAGGTTGCTTCTCTCCTTGGTTAGTTTCCATCCATTGTGTCATGCCCCTGGTGGAGGCTGACTCTGAGGGAGAGGAGGAACAGCCGACAAGGACTGGAAGTGTGGCTCCAGAGGTGGTGGAGGAGGCTGGGGAAGGGCAGAGGCTGGCTGGGCAGTCAGAGGACCCAGGCCCATCTCATCTCCATCCTAGGTCATGCAAGGAGAAGAGGATAAGGGAGAGATGTGGTCTACAGGGGAGGAGAGGGCCTTGATCCTCTTCATGGGCTACCATTTGTCTCTGTCTGTCTGTCTATCTATCTGTCTGTCTGTCCGTCCGTCCATCTGTCGTCCGTCCATCCATATCTATCTATCTATCTATCTATCTATCTATCTATCTATCTATCTAT